TTTTTTATCAATTTGGAACAATTTGAGCCCTTGGGAGCAAGAAAATTCGGAAATGTCCATATTAAGGACCATCCTAATATATATATATATATATATATATATATATATATATATATATATATAGAATTTTATGATATGAGTGAAACGAATTCATATTAAACAATTAATATATATATATATATATATATATATATATATATATATATATATATATATATATATTAGGGTGGTCCTTAAAAGGGTCATTTTCGAATTTCCTTGCTCCCAGGGACTCAAATGGTTCCAAATCGATAAAAAACAATTCTCTGAAAGTTTTAGCTCTTAATATTAACGTTTAGATAGAGCGCAATTCAATTAAAGTTTTGTATGGAAATAGCATGGAAAAATTTTCAAAAATTTTAAAAATGTTTTTTAGATGTAATTTAGCGAACAAATGAATGAATAAAACTCATTTATTTTTCGCTAGGTTATACCTAAAACATTTTTTTTAATTTTCAAAAAAATTTTCATGCTCTTCCCATACAAACTTTGATTGAATTGCGCTCTATCTAAACGTTAATATTAAGAGCTAAAACTTTCAGAGAATTGTTTTTTATCTATTTGGAACCATTTGAGCCCCTGGGAGCAAAGAAATTCGAAAATGACCATTTTAAGGACCACCCTAATATATATATATTTATATCCTTTATTAATTTTGTCATCATTCTGTCATAACAATTGCCTAGGCTTTCTACATAGATCGCCGTCTTAAATAAATTTATTTATTTATTTTGTATATTATTCCAAAAATTTCAGTGTACTTACAATGAAATCGATTGCCCCAATGCAACAACCTTACCAATAATTATTGCTAAGCCGGGTTGGAGTTGGGGTGCATCATCTGGGGCCAATTCTAAGGGTGTTGCAGCTGCCGTTATTTGGCATAATGAATATGCTGGACTGACTGCTGATGATAGTTCTAATAGTTTAGTGCCTCTTGATTTTGTCAGGTAAATAATAATGATAAATTATCAAACTATTTCGCAAGATCAATTACCAAGGTCTTTCTTTCTGTTTAGACTATGTTTAGAACAGAGTCAGTCATCTGAAGAAGGTGTTGAAGTTATTTCTAAATATTTGGAAGCTCATGGACCCAATGAGACAAAGTATCAAGCATCATATATAATTTGTGATTGTGAGAAAGTCTGGTTATTGAATACAGCTGGAAAACTATGGGCTGCTCAACTGCTACCAAGTATGTCTGCATGGTTTAGTTTCCGATTTATATGAATTTAGTTTATGCCAATTATAATCAAAAATAATTATTTTATTTTAGATGGTCTAAGCAAAATCTCCCCTGGTTTAAGTGTGAAAACAATTGACAAATGTAGTGGGAGTAATAAAGATGAACTAGGAGATTTTTGGCCAAGCAAAGTAAGTTTTTTATGCTTTTTTATGCTAATACATTGTTAAAGATTTGTGTTTAACGGATTGTTATAATTTCAGGGTTCAAACTTCTCAACAGAAGTTATAAGTAGCACATTTTCAATTTCCGAACTCTTCAGTGTGTTACGAGATAAGGAAAATAACGCCTTCCACGATCAGGGAAATGTTCAACCAACTCAGAATAGTCACGTATGTTAGAAAATTTATTTTCCACCTGAATTATTATTGACAACAATATCATAATGCGTAATTTTTTTTTGTTCTAGGTGTCATCATTATCTCAAAATAGATTAAATTGTCATTGGTTTACCGCTACTCCTGATCCTAGCATCTCTGTTTTTAAACCATTTATTTTCACACCGAATGCTGTTGTTTCACCCTTAACAGTCTGCAAGAAACAAGTGCGTTTTTGCAGACAAAGTTTTTTTTTTGCAATTTTGAACCTAAGTTTTTATACTAAATGATAATCAATTGTATTGTTTTTTAGAATGATGGCACATACATGCATGGCCTTTACAAACTTCACTCAGTTGGTGCGACGGATAGAGCAATTGAACTGCTCAAAGATATTGAAGCGTGCTGCGTAGGAGAAGTGCAGCTGTATCTTGAAACAGATTCTAATGTTAATCCTGAATTGGACGAGTTGATGAAAGATTGTGTGGAGGCTGAAGTTAAATTTTATCGTTAAATTTTTTACTTATTAAACATTCTGTGATAATATAAATGTAGATAAACTCGAATATTATGTTTTCCTGCAACTGCTTCTGTTATAAACGCTATCAGTATTATGGGATATGAATTTTATGAAAGCATATGCTGAAAGAGAATGAACGAATATCTGACTACAGGTTAGATGTTTAGGCCATAGGTACAATGTTTGCCAGATATTCAACAACTCAATTCAGACCTAATATTGCTTTTAAATTTATTGTAAAGTCTGATTTACACATGCCATCTTATGATGCATTAGGCATGTTTAACAAGCACAAAATTGTCTGTTGCAAACAGAAGAGCAACAATTATTATGTTTTGTTGCTTGTGCATTTCGAACTCTTTAGATCATTAAATATGAACACCAGCTAGCTTTATTTTATTTGGAGACAATTAAGACTTAAAATATATGAAATGATATTAAATGTGTATTATTAAGTTTCTCTGTCGCATAATTGTAGATTGCATGATAGTGCAATCTGGATAAGATTATTTATTTTAAATGTTAGATTTAATTTTTTTATGCATTACAGTGACATGTAGGTTATACAATTGATCTATAAGATAACTTAGCATTTATATTGCATGCATTTATATGCGAAAAATTCATTCCAATATATTGTACATTGAAATTAATATATTTATTTAAAACACTCACAGTGGCTGTTTGTTCGGCCCTACTAAGAGAGATGTATTTGCTTTACTATTTGAATACATTTTATACTCACATATAGTTTACTCCAACAACAATATAAACTGTCATAAGTAATAAGAGCTTGTAGTATTAACTGACAATTTAATAATCTGTGAGTATTATAAAATTGAGACTTTACGTAGTGTTTGAACAATAAGCCATAAACCATGTATCATTATCAACTTAGTTACATATCTTGCTATAAAAATTATCAGGCTATTTTTTAATAAATTGTATTATATAGTAAATCTTGCAGGACATCACTAATACAAATAATATTAGTAAATCAAATTCATATATTCTTGAATATGGAAAATATATCCAGGTATCACAAAAAATCAGATAGAGATTGTGCTCTAATAAAAAATATATACAAAATATTAGCTAATTTTACTTAAAATAAAAGCAATAAGTAATTCTGGCAAAATTATGTTGTTAATGATTCTAATAATAATTATGTACTAAGTTTCACCTAATTGAAAACCATTCCCTAATAGTAGCTTAAAAATTATATTTTATTTATCTATTTATTTTTAAAATTACTCAATTTTAAGTTTGGTACTTTAAATTTTATAATATTACTACTACGCCTAACTATCAAAAACTTGTTTAAAAGTTAACCCTTTCCACTCGGATGCCGCCGCTCTGGTGACAAAATACATAATAATCTCGGAATTCGCGAGTGGAAAGGGTTAATATATTCACATTGATAAATACTGCAATGCAGCTTTGTTCTTGATCCTAATTATTTTGCTGTTGTGTAAATTATGGTACTTGTGGAAATAAATTGAAAAAAATATATATATTTGTTTCATTTAATATAGATTATTCAAAAATTGAAAAAAAAACATTTATTTTGAAAGTTCGCAAAATCTCAACTCTGTTAAAAGATTTACGGACAAGTAATTCTCGAACTTGTAGTTATGCTATATAGTAAACTTCACTAAAATTATCGTTTTAAACGTTTTTATTAATTAATAAATTAATCGAAAAAAAATTTCTAAGTTTAAAATTCTTAAAAATTTACTACGATATGTCTCTAAAATTTAATATGTTACGTCTCTAATTAAACTAGGCTCAAGCGGAATTCGGACTGAGGGCAAGTTGCATGAATTTCATATGTGGAAATAATCGAATGCAGTTTTCACTACTTAAATAAAAATTTTAACTATTTATTTAGAAAATAATTGTTTCGATTTTGACAAAAAACTAATTAATGCAAAATCCAATTGATGTCTTTCTAACAAACTTATAACATCCGTAATTGTATTAATTAAATTGAATTTATGTTACACACTTTATTCTATTTCATGTACTAAACATTTATTTTATTTAAATGTGAATGTCAACGGTGATCAGTAAATCCACAGAGCGGAACTTACACGGTGTATGTAATTAGCGCAATTCATTATTACTTGAATAAATTTTTACAATTAAATCACTTTTGGTAGGCATATAATAATTTTATTCGACCATGACCTATATAGGCATACAAAGTTTATATGAGCACTTTAGTATTAGAAGAATTTCTCCATGGGTCATAGTAACTTTATTAAACTGGTGGTGTATGTATGGCATCGTGCCCTAAGGCAAATTGCTGAAACTTCTCGTACCAAAAATTAATTTTTTTTAAACTTTGAAAAAAATTAGATTTTTGAGAAATTTTAAGTTTTTGGAAAAAAATGACGTTTTCGAAAAATAAGACTGAATTATTTTTTTTCAATCGGACGCTTCGTTCTCTTAAAAACTGAGTTACCGTTTTTGGCGTTTTTTGCCCCGTATCTCCGAAATGGCTGAAACTGCCTTCGCCAAAAACTAATCAGCACGTCTCCTTATCAATAGAAATCGAATGTTTTTTGAATAAATGAAATCGGGTGAACCGTGTTCCCTAAATCGTCGACGAAAATTTGTATCCGCGCACACACACATCCATTTTTCGAAGGTACGACAAAATGTTCAGAAAACTCTGAAACGTAAAGATATACAAAAATTTTCATTTTCGATTTTTTTGCGATTACTATATCTTACCCTACGGGAAGGAAACAATGTATCAAAAAAAAATTGCCAAAATTCCTGGAAAAGCACAGTTTTTTGCCACACATCCTCCACATATGTGATGACTGATATGACTTTTTATTAATTATTTCATTATATTAATAAAAATAATATTGACGAGCCGTGTTAAACATATATGTCCAACAGTGCTTATGTAAAACTTCTTAGCGTCAGACACATATGACTGACATGGCAATTAACGTGTTGATATCGTGAAAAAAAATCCAACAATTTATTACGAAAAAACGGCCCGATCAATCTTTACCTAAAATTAATCAGCACAATTGCCAGATAATATCTTTCGAAAAGCTTTCGAATTTTCAAAATCGGTTCAGAACTTTTGACAAAAATGATAAAAAACGGCTTGGCCGATCACCGCGTAAAATTAATCAATGCGAGTTCTTATCCAGTTTGACCAAAGGAGGCTTCCATTACTCACGTAATCAATTTTTAAGAATTTTTGGCCCCTCCGCCCCCATGGTGATACGTGGTGATATTTAAAATTAACCTCACAGCCTCCCCCACATAAAATCACGTGTATTTATATTGTCTAGAACAAATGTTTTTTTGGATTTTTTTTTAAAAAATACAAGTAAAAAATGAATACACGTAATGTATAACTAGATCCTCTTCTCTTCCACGTGATATTTCGTGATTTTTTGTCAAACCCCTTCTAAGCCTCACGTGATTAATGGATGTCCTCAAACGGCTTTTAAATATTGGAAATCGGTGCAGATTCATAGAAAACGCCAACGAAAAGTAAAATTTTGTATCAGAAACATAATTTATCCAATGTTTATGTCAAACGATTCAGAATGACTTAAAACGTCGAAAAAACAATTTGCAAACGGATTTTCTGACAAAGTTGATAGTGCTGAAATATCTATATATAGTCATTTTTATGCGTCATCGATTTTACAAATAGTTTCCATATTGTAGGGATTTAAAGTGTTATATAAATTAGAAATCACAGTAAATCAATTTTTACGCGTTTTACATCCGGATTGATCAACGTCTATCTCTCGTCGCTTGTGGTCGAAAACACATATTTTGCTCACAAAATATGATTTGAAATATTCATATCATACTAAACATATGCAACGACTAAATTATGAAATTTGTACTAGAAATCGACTTAATTTGGAAATCTCTAAACGGCCTTGATGATATGTTCATATGTTCGAATGCATGCGATAAAACTGAATGGTATAATTTATGCAAAAGTTATGATGATCACATAAAAATGCCGATTATTAGATGCAGGTATTCGTTTTCTACAGTGATATTTCTCTAAAGATGTTCTGTAATATTCGGTAACATTTGAAACAGATTTTATAATCGTTGGTTTAAAATTCTTTGACTAATTAAATTGATTGACCTGATTGCAAACTTTTGGTATCAACTTACTGTAATGCACTCATAGAAACGGAAGTTTCTCAATTTGATGAAACAAAAAGTTAATGAAAATTAAAAAATTAATAGGTATTATATAAAAAAGATCTGTAATTATATATGGAATATTTTAATTGTTGGAAGATTTAGTGATTAAATCTAGATTGCTTCATTTCATACTCATTTCTCTTAGGTATAAAGACTATACTTATCGATATGAAAAATTAGCCTAATTTTTGTTTTTATCCATATTCTAAATAAATTTTAATTTATTTACATTTTCCTTGAAGAAAGGTAAGAGTTAAGTGACTATAATTATAGTCTTTTATTATCTTATTTAGTTTTATCGTCCGTTTACCGTATTTGAACTGTGACCCATCAGTTTAATGTCAGGATTCAGTTACTTTCTATTGCCTATCCACACGATTGTTACTGGCATATTGTAAGTTTAATATCTAATTAGTTTAGAAATACATTATAAGGCAGACGAATTTCTAATACTCATATATATATATATATATATATATATATATATATATATATATATATATATATTTTGTAGAGTTTCGAACAAGAATCCAAAAATAATACAAAATAAAAAACAAGAAAAGTTTTTAAAAAAACAATTTCTTTATTCAATTATTTGTTTATTGTCTTCTTGTTTTTTATTTTGTATTATTTTTGGATTCTTGTTCGAAACTCTACAAAATATACACAAATCCAAGACTCTACCATTCAATATATATATATATATATATATATATATATATATATATATATATATATACATATATATACATATATATATATATATATATATATATATATATATATATACATATATATATATATACAGGGCCGGATTTAGAAATTTGGCGCCCCGGGGCACTGACAGAAATGCCGCCCCATCCCTGAAATTTTACTAACTTTCGAACTTTTTTTTAAAGCAATCGCGCTGCTTCAGCTGCTTAGGGATAAAATATAGAAGCGCGAAAACGCCGCGTCGCAGTCTAACGGATAAACAATGTTACAGAACGCATATAAATGTAAACAAAATTTATACTTATTAACATATTTTTAAAATATCTGATAATTTAATGTGCATATGTTTTGTGATCACTTTTGTCCACCAAATGTTTCTTTTACATTTTTTTATTGGATTATCGAAACCGCTAAACCTGCCTCCCACAAATTTAAGCAGTTATTTATTCTGTAAATTTTTT